CTTGGGTTCACATTACTCATATGCTATTTTTTCATTTGAAGTAAAATTTGAATAGCACCAATTACTGTATTTCTTCAAATAATCTTAATTTTCATATAATATTCCACTTTGTAGCCATAGCCCAATTTTTTTTTCCTTGAGTGTTTCAACCATTCCTGTACTGTTGAATATTTATATTGTTTCAGGGTTCTTTTCTATTTTCAGTGATATTGCAAGGAACGTCATTTAAACCCTCATGATGGACTATTGAAAATATGTTTCTTTTAGAACTGGAAACGTTGATAAAAAATTTAAAATAATTATAGGGCTTTTGATGGCAACTACAAAACCTCTCACTTCTCAAAAGCTGTATAAATTCATACTCTTGTACTCAGTATGCATCTCTATTTTTGAAAAATTGCAGTTTTAGTTCTTCCTTCATATATAATCTTCTCTTTTTTAAAAAATACGTTTGATTGAAATTCTTCTCTTTTTTTTTACTAGCAATCTTCATTTCTGATTTTATCTCATTTCCTTTTTGCATTCCCTTATCAACTTCTTTCCTTAAGGTTTAAAATGCTCATTATATAACCTTTATCTTTATAGCATCTTTAAGGTTTTGTTGAAAGCCTACAGAATCTTCATGAAAGAAAATCATGCTTACTCAAAGATTGAGAACAGACTAAAAAAGCAATAAATATTTTCGGAATAAAGAAAAGTTATTTGTTAAGCACCTGAGTGTCCAGTACTGTGTTACTGACCTTGGTGGATGCCTGAGAAGCAGAAAAGGTGACGCTCACGGGTCTCATGTTCTTAGTTGGGGAAACTCAACCAAGTGCACGTATTCTGAAGGGCAGAGTTTTCACAACCTTTTTAGATCCAGACCAACCAAAATGCTTTTTCAGTATCTTCTGTTTATCATTCTACTAGGTAGTCAAGAAGATTTTGCACAGCTTTATTTTCTGTAGTTTGTGTTGTAAACGACAGAGATAGGTACGTTGAACATACTCGTTCAAACTACCTGTACACATCCACACATGTGGACCTTCCCTCCTCGGTGGAGAATTACTGCACTAGTGAATCTTCCAAAGCAAGTACCTGAAAGTTACTGAAGGCCTGACTCAATAAGGCCTAAGTTCAAATGTTTCTTCTGTAAGGACTTTCCTACAGTATAGAAAGCCTTTTGGTGCTTCAGACCCTGGTTTGATTTTGCCTCCTTTGCCTCTTTTCCAAGCTGCCCTGATCCCATCACCTACATCAGTGTGCTGAGTGTCAGGGCTTTGTTACTTCTGCTGTTAGCCTGTCCTGGCTTTTACCCTCTGTGGTAGTTATGTTTGTGTGTCAACTTGGCTGGGACTGGTTGAGTGAATGGCTGGGCAGCTGGTGGTAGTTATTCCCCATGATGAGATTGGCAATCAGCTCCATGGTGGAATCTATCATAAGCAGCTGAGTAGCTGCCTTTGGGATGTGGTCTGCTTTCTGTATATAAGGAGAAGCCTTGGGAATGGTCTCTAGCCTATGGCACACTTGGACCCTGCATGTAGCCATGTCGTTTTTCAGCACCCTGCTATGCTCTGCTGACCTTGGAACTTACAATGGACTTAAGTTAATGGCCTGCTATGTGGTTTGGTAACATTGGGACTGTGCCTTTTTACTTGTCAACCTTGGGCTTGTCAGCCTCAGCAGCCAGCAGCTGTCTGAGTGAAGAAATGCCTCCAGCTTCAGTGGGCCAGGAGCAAGAGGCAGAGCTGGACCCCAAGGGTGAGGGGGCTTTCACTCAGCCCCTAGAGCCTGGCACTTTGAACTTGGACTTAAAGCCTCCAAATTGTAAGAATAAACTCCAGTTTGTTTAAGCCATCCCATTTTTGGTATATTTCTTGTCAGAGCAGCACTTGGGAACCAGAACACCCTCCACAGCACTCCTGCTCCCACCTTGTTATGCTCTTTATATAGCACCTAGCTTATTCTCTGATTCCAAACATCTTGCTTTAAATGTTAAAATTATGCCTTTGCCCAATAGTTGGCTTTCTTGCTCTGCCCCTCACATTCTATGGCCTTGCATTGCTGCCTTGTCATCCACTCTTCCTCATAGACTTGATGACCTAACCTGTTTCTCATTGGTATTGTATCCCCATAACTTCTACTGAAGGAGCCCAGGTGGAACAGTGGGTTGAATGATCAACTGCAGCTGAAAGAAAGGTTCATGGTTTTGAATCTACCCTGCAATAATGAAGGAGAAGGACCTGGAGTGGAGATAAGCTTCTGTAGATTTTCATTGTTGTTAGTTGCTGTTAAGTTGCTCTGACTCATAGTGATGCCATGAACAACAGAATGAAATACTGCCCAGTCCTATGCAATCCTCACAATCATTGCTACATTTGAGCCCATTTTTGCAGCCTCTGTGTTAATCCAGCTCATTGAGGGTCTTCATCTTTTTCACTGACCCCCTACTTTACCAACTATGATGTCCTTCTCCAGGAACTGGTCCCTAATGATAACATGTCCAAAGTACATAGTGAGAAGCTTCACCATCCTTGCTTTTAAGAAGCATTATGGCTGTGCTTCCAAGATAGATTTGCTCATTCTTATGGCAGTCCATACTGTATTCAGTATTCTTTGCTAATGCCATAATTGAAAAGCATCAATTCTTACTCTGTCTCTCTTATTCATTGTCAAGCTTTCACATGGATATGAGGCAATTAAAAATACCATGGCTTTGGTCGGGCATACCTTAGTCCTTAAAGTGACATCTTTGCTTTTGAACACTTTACAGAGGTCTTTTGCTGCAGAATTGCCCAATGCAATCAATATGTCTTTTGATTTCTTGACTGCTGCTTCCATGGGTGTTGACTGTGGGATCCAAGTAAAATGAAATCCTTGATAACTTCAAGCTTTTCTCTGTTTTTCATGATGTTGCTCATTGGTCCAGTTGTGAGGATTTTTGTTTTGTGTTGAGGTATAATCCTAGTGAAGGGTGTAGTTTTTGATCTTCATCAGTAAGTGCCTCAAGTCTTCTTCACTTTTAGCAAGCAAGGTTGTGTTACCTGCATATTGCAATCTGTGTTCTGAGCAAATGATCTGAGAAACTGGACTTTATGAAGAGAAGAACATGGCATCAGAATCAGAGAGATTTCTGTAAAGATTACAGCCAGGAAAACTCTATGGGGAAGTTCTACTTTCTCACATAGGGTGAGTTGGAACTGAATTTATAGCACCTAACAACAACTGCCATCTTCCACTGATCCAGTATAGAGCACAGTGTTTGACCAATAAATAAATAAATATTTTTTGAATAAAAGAATGAATTGGAAGCATTCCCTGGTTGAATTTAAATTTATGTCTTGGGTTTAGTTGACACTTGTTAACAGTAGTCATATTTCACTTGTTTTTCTTCCTCTTCTCCTGCTGGTTAATCATGGGCAAATCTCTTAGCTTCTTTGAGCCTTAGCTTCCTCATCTTTTCCCTAAGCATAATCACATATACATCTCATATTTATCATTAATGCAGTACATATGAAGTGTTTTGCAAAAGGATACACACACATGTATGTATATATATATATATATTTTTTTTCATCACTGTTGTCAGATATATGATTACCAGAGTCAGAGATTGTAAATGGAAATGCTAACTTCTTGAGTAAAGCATGTCTTTATGCCAGGGATTAGCAAACTACAGCCCACCAGGCAAATCTGGCTGACCATTTTTGTATGGCCTGTGAGCAAAGAATAGTCTTCACATTTTAAAATGGTGCAAAAAAATAAAAAGAAAAATATCTGTGACATGAAATTTAAATGTTAATGTTCATAAAGTTTTATTGAAACACAGCCACCCATTTGCTTATATAGGGTCTAGGCTACTTTGAGTACAAAAGAAGAGTTGAATAGTTTTGATGCAGACTGTATGGCCCACAAGGCCCAAAAGATTTACTATCTGACTTTCTTTTTTTTTTTTACAGAAAATGTTTGCTAAACCCTAGTCTAAACCTTTTGGGAGTCCTCTTTTGGCTCTACTTCTCTGTTTCCTTCCTGTCCCATTTGTTGAACCTCCTGGAGAGGACAGGAAATGTAATGAGTCCAAAGTATTTATTTTAAACTAATTTCTGATACCTGGTATAAGAAAGGCAAAATGAAGATAATAGTTGTCTTTTTTTTTTTTTTTTTTTTAACCTTCTTCATGCTTTTTAAAAAATCAAATTATATTCTGTGTTGAAACATTAGTATAATGTTAAAAGGCACTAAGCGGAAAAAACTCCATCACCAACTCAGACTACCCTTAACTAATGTGATTCTTCTAACACCTTTTCATTTTGCTGTACATTTCCTTCTGCACTAGACAAATGTATTTTCAAATAGTTGTAATCATGATCTACATTAAATTTCATTGTTGATATAGTCGTTTTCAGTTGGCTTTGAAAAATATCACTTGATTATTGCTTTTATTTATGTCGTGACAGAATTCTATAATTTGTAAGCTATGCGTAATTCAGAACTTCCTTTTCTTGCCTTTGGTCAGATTCTTTCTTCTTCAACTTCCCTTGAATGCAAATATTTCTTGTTGGAGTCACTGTTGGGCAGCCTTGACTTGCCCATTGCCCTTTCTTATATTAATCCTTGCTCTCTGGCATCGATTCAAATGCTACATTCCTATTGAGCTTGAAACTGAGAAAAATGGGAAATAAAGCTAAAGGAAAAATGTCAGATAAAAAAAAATCTTGATATTCTTAAGGTTATTTCTACTTTTCATCTCCAGACCTTTCCCTAAGGCATTAAATAATAGCAGAAAAAGTATTTAGCAAACAAAAAACTCTGTTCATCTAATAATGGTATGAAGGATATGTTTGTGTTATCTGTTGCTTTAAATAAAAGAGAATAAAAACAAGACCATTACTGTCATATGTTAATACTACTGATCTTTTTATTATATTTCATACAATAGAAACTTCATTATTAACTCCATACTATGGAATACAAGTAAAAAAAAAATGGCTTTTCATGCTTTACTCTCTTGTTTTTCCTAGTGAGAAGCTGGATGGAAAAGCTGAAAGACAAGGTAAGAAAAGTATTTTTTTCTCTTGCATCTATTATAAAGGGCACAGCTTTGTGAAGCAAAAGATCTCCAGAGTAGTGGAGCTTTAGTTTATTATTTTGATTCTTATCTTGTATCCAGACACACAAGACTACTTCTAGGTGCCCAGCAAGAAAGGAGATCTTTCCTTTAAATTCTCTTACTGTAGCACACACACACACACACACACAAACAAGAACTGAACTAGTTGCTGTGATGTTTCTGGGAAGATCTGTGCTTCAAAGACTTTTCAGTGACTGATTTTTCAGAAGTACATCAGCAACCCTTTTTCTTCTGAAGCACCTCTGAGTGGACTTGAACTTGAATCTGTAAATTAGCAGCTGAGCGTGTTATCTGTTTGCACCACCAAGGACTCAAAGCAAACACCCACTGCCATTGAGTCGATTCCAACTCATAATGACCCTATAGGACTGAATAGAACTTTTTTTTTTTTTAAAGCTAGAGATTTGTTGTTATTGTTTGATTAATAAATCATCAAATTAGTTATGACACTATTCCACACTGTATACCACCATTTACTACTACAAACATTTTTAAAGCAGACTGAGGCATAAGTCAGAAGAGAGCAAAGATGTCATCTTCATTCTTTAGTCATGTCTTCATAATGACCTTCGTACATACTTTCCTCCTAAGGAAAGTGTCAGAACAGTACATGAACTGGGAGGTAACATAGCCTCATGACCTTTTTTAAATAGCAAGCAACATACGGACGTAATGGTATTCAAGACTCGAATATCCCTTTATTTTATTAATCTGAACTCATATTAACGTTTCAACATCCTGTGACTGTACACGAGAAAATATAATGACCTAAGAGAATACTGAATGCAGTGAGCCAAATATATGACTGACTTCAAAGCTACATTTTAATTGGTCCTAAAGGAATGTCCCACCCCAACAGTTTGAGAGTAAGGTAAACAGAATTTCTTTGGAAAAGGAGGCAAAAGGCACAGGCAAATGTTACTCAACATTGTTAACATGGCTCTTGTTTTCCATCCTGAATATACTTCTTTACTACACTGTATGCACAGAAATCATAACAGAATCTTGGTTGCCAGTGTCATTTAGATTTGTCCAATCCAGGATAGATTTTCCACAAAAATATCCCTTTCTCAGAGGCTCTGAAAAGCACTGTATTTAACTATTTTTTAGTAGAACTACCAAAACATTTCAGAAACAAGTGGCTCACAGATCACTTTGAAACTCATGTATTGCCTGTGCAAGAAAAACTGATACACTCAAAAGATAGTTCTATTATTTATATGGTGGTTAAAAGTTACTGAAACATCACAACATTTTCAGTGAAAGCAGCATTTCAATTCCAAATTTTAATGCCTGATAAACTATGGGAGAAGTTTAAAAGTCCTAAGCAAATGGGGTTTACTATAGTATTCCTTAAGGAGCTCTGGTAGCACGATGCCTAAGGTTGCTGTTCAAACTCACCAGCCATTCCATGGAAGGAAGACTGGGCAATGCACTTCTATAAAGATTTATGACCTCAGAAACCCAACGGGAGTCAGAATCAACTCGATGGCCGTGGGTTTGCTTTTTTTTTTTTTTTATAGTATTCCTTCAGTCTGCACAAAGATTAAGGTAATTTACAGTCAATCTGTGAATGTTGAGACAATGTTACATTATGTTTTCTGTGCAATTAAATGTCCTTAAAGAGATAACCAGAATTAGCTTTTCTACTATATTGTCAGCAAACCTGCCTACCCAGCACTTTTTCAGAGAGATGTTTATCAAAGATGCTGTAAGATTCTATCCAAGTAGATAGTACTCAGCTTAAAGAGTATTCCTTATCTTTCCTTTTTTTTTTTTTTTTTTTGGCTCCAAGTGTTTTGCTCAGATAACCTGTTGCAATAAATTTCTAGAAATGCAGTCCCGAATGTGAATGCTATCCTGTTACAAACAAGAACAAAACAAAGTCACAAAAAAAAAACCCTGTCAATGTAAAATTCTTACAGTATTTTGTTCACATAAACACATGCCAAAGCCACAGTAGTGTACTACAAATTATAGAGCACAAATGATTTGCTTCTTTTTAATGCTTTTATTCAACATAAGTTACTAAACATTTTTACTAATGTTTAAAAAGCAAATAAAGTGGACAGATGCAGTATGAAATCTCTTCATTCAACCATAAAAGATTTTTTTAAAAAATAACAATAAATGCAGAAGTGTTTGATATATGCAGTTTCTTTTCATGAAAAAGCTGGTCAAGAAAAACAAACAAACAAATAAACAATAAAACCCAACACACACATACACACACACACCCAGAAAAAACACACATCTTACTATACTCCACTTTAAAATGCATCATATTAGATTTGTTTATAACCATGGGGTTTCCGAGGCTATACATCTTTAAAGGAAGCAGACTGCCTCACCTTTCTCCTGCAGAGTGGCTGGTGGGTTCTCACTGTTGTTCTTTTGGTTAGTAGCTGAATGCTTTAATCACAGCCCCACCAGAGCTCCCAGGGACTTAGAAGGCACTTTATTTTTTGGAGCACCATTCATTCTCATAAAGGCAACATCTTGTATGCTCAACTGAATAATATCTTCCATGTATCAAGGTGAAGTTTATTTTAGGGAATTTCATGCATATATTTCTCAACCCAATGTGAGGGTCTCTTAAGCCTGGTTTCCCTGCGTGAGGAAGAAATACCTTGGGTTTTGGAAGGCATTGATTTTTCTGACTCCAGAGTAAAAACTGATGGACAAGTTATTTTTAAAAATAAATGTCTGGATAGAAAAGGCATCTGTAGACCATAGTGGATGTGAGATAAAAATACTTGAGCACTTGAGCTGTCTCCTTAGAAATTCTTTCATATTTATGTAGACTTTCTTAGTGCCACTTCTTAATTGTGAATAAGCTGACCTGTCTGGAATGGCCAACTATAGAAATATATTTTCCTCTCTTGCTTTACTTCTGCCATCTACATAATGATTGACAATATTGACATCATTCCAGGTTCATATTTTCCATTTTTCTTTTGATTTTCAATCTTCTCCAAGTTTTCATTTTTGGTTATCATGTAATTCTAAACTGGAATTACTAATACAAATACTGATGGAGTCTTGAATTTCTTGGCCATTCTCTGTCAGATTTCATTATTGTAACCCAACTGCAATTTAACTGGGGTTTTAGTTAAATGAAAATCTGTTCATCTGCCAGATACTGAGTTACCTCTGATTCACCAGCTTTTGAATATACTTCTGTTGATGGTAGTCCATATCTTTTTTATTATTTAGGGTCCATTCTTCCCATAATTGAATGATTAATGTTTCTTCTATTATAGCTTAATTTTAAAGGAGAAATGAAAATATAGCATTCCACTTCAGTGAAAATTATTACTCTTCCCCACTGTTACTTTTCTGCTTAGTATAATTTAGCATCTCTAGCCACTCCTCGGAAGGAAGGTTGGGCAATCCTACTTCCGTAGTGATACTGCCTCGGAAACCCAAGGAGGGGTCGCTATGAGTCGGGGCCGACTCGATGGCAAATAACAACAACAACAACAGTTTTTGAGAATGAGATTTTGTATTCATATACATTAAAAGTGACATTGAAAAATTTTAAGCTTCTTGAAGTCATAGTATTTGTAATGGGCCCAACTATCCAAGAGAAAGGTACTCTGGTGGCATAGTGCCTAAGGCATTTGACTACTAACCAAGAGGTTGGCAGTTCAAATCCACCAGCCACTCTATGGAAGGAAGACTGGGCAATCTACTTCTGTAAAGATTTACCACTTCAGAAACTCAAAGTGGGTCACCATGAGTCAGAATCGACTCGATGGCAGTGAGTTTTTTATTTGTTTTGTTTTTAATCCAAGGGAGATATGATCAGATGAATGGAGCACAGTTTGGGCTAAGGAAAGCATAACAATTTAAAACTGGATACATTTAAATTGGTAGTGTTACATCTTGTTTTTCAGTGGAAAATATGATGCAATGAAAATTAAACAGGCTTTGGTATGTTAATCTAGGAGAGCATATGTCATTTTTGCTATAGACAATATCCTGAGTTACAAAACAGGACAAAAAATAGACTTAATAAATTTTGGCAGGTAGCCTGTTTGAAGCTGTGTATCTCAGAATTTCTTACCTGTGTGTATATATAGCTCTGCTACCTCCTTTAAAAATCTGTGCAGCTTCAGAGAAAAGCTATATTTTCTATTCCTATGGGTCCTTCCTTCTTATCTTGTTTCAAAGGCCAGGCAGCTTCTCCCTGAACCTTCTCACCAAGAGAATTAATTTTATGTGTGGCCCCTAGTTTTCTGGCTTACTGTGAAGTTTTTTTCTGCTTTCTCGTGTAGTATTTTTTTCAGTTAAGTCTTCATTTAAAAAAACCTGAAGAGAAAAAATCTGAGTTTCTAACTGTGGTTGTCCTGTATAATGCCTGTGTCTTCGTATTTGACTCTTACTTGGAGAGATCCACTCAGATCTTTCCCATGTCCCCCTTTCCCTGTGCTTGAAAAATTCACTACATACTCACTTGACGCATGCATTCATGTGTGTGTGTGTGTATGCATATATGTCTTCATATCTGTCTTTCTGTAATAGTCTTGTTAGTCATCATCTTCCCAAAACTTTGAGAGTGAAACAATTGACTCTCTGATGAAAGTCACAGAATCCTTTAGAATTGAAAATTAAACTTCATTATTTAACTGAGCTCTTCAGACAAAACAGAACAACGTTTCAGTTTGCTTCATTTAATTGTCCTAATATTAGTTTCTTATTAGACAGCTAGGGTCCAGAAAAGATAGTGTATTTATTTATTTATTTGATATATATTTTTAAAGGATGGTGGTTTTACAAATTCTAAATTATTCCTTTTATTGCTGTAGTTTAGTCCCTATATTATTTAGGATTAAGGTCAGCAATGAATGTTATATATGTTTTTACAATGATAAATAAAAAAAAAAGAGAGATCAGTGATGAGTGACAGACAACCCTCA